AGAGCACGCCTGCTGGCAAAAGCGAATAGACGCTGGAAGCCCATTGCTGTTTGGGTCGCCCTCTCTTCCTTTTGTGCGCCCATCGCCTAGGCAGCCTTGTGCCAGGCTCACACGTAAGGAAGTTGAGATTATTTTCCGGGAGTGACGAAATCTTCCTATACACATTCATTTGCCGATCACGGAGCGTCTCGCTCAGCGGCGGCTCCTGCGCACGTTCTAGGACTTCATTGTTAGAAATTCAGGACACGTACGCAGACGGAATTCTGAAAATACTTCGCAGACATTGCACATGGAAGCTGTCTAAACGGGCTCTGTCAGTTTGCAATGACCAAGCAGTCTCTAAATTATGCAGCAGCTTGGGCAAGACAATTGCTTTATACAGTTGGATTTTTTCCGGCCGCGGCATATATTAGCGTGCGACCAACAGTGAGACAGAGCTTTAAATAGAGATTTGGCTTCACCAATTCTCCGAGTGATTTCAGGTTTTGCTGAGCATTTTACATTCAAGAGTCCTCCTAAATACACAGCTTGCTCCACTATTTTCAGCGGCGCGCTGGCGGGAGAAAGCAAAGTACCAGCGTTATGTACACGCATGCATACAGTTTTATCCCAATTCAGATCCAAGCCATATCTCGCGCCTTCGTCAATGACTGTGTTGAGTAGTGCTTGAAACTTCCCAGAATCGCTGCTGAGTAACATTTTGTCCTCGGCGTATAACAAATCACCGCATGCCAAATAGTTGGGCTCCCGGACAGCATCGTGTAGGCCAGCCATTATGTTGTCGACGTCGTAAAACATGACGGTTTGAACGATGATGAATAGATATGGTGATAACGGGCACCCTTGTGCGATCCCTGCAGCTCGAAGACGTTTGCTGGAATTTACGACGGGGACCCGCAACACAAAGCTTCTGTATCTGTAGATCGTCGCTATCATGTTCAACATGTCCGTGGGGATGCCGAACCTTCGAAGCGCGTCTGAGAGCGTGTCGTGTTTGATCCGGTCGAAAGCTTTAGACCAGCCCAGCAATACTGCAACCAATCCTGGAGATTGACATGTCTTTGCGGCCTCGAGCATCTTCCGGGCAATGCCAATCGCCTGGGCAGTGCTTCTGCTTGGGCGGAAACCAAACTGATTTGAACGAATTCGGTTCTCGGCCCCGCCATTCTGAATTCGCTTTTGTAGCATCCACGCCAAAAGTTTGTACCCAATCGACAAAAGAGATATAGGGCGGTAGTTCTCCGGCAGGCTTGTGTCCCCCTTTTCGTATAGAAGTGCCACGACTGAGGTATGCCATTCTGCTGATCTGTTCTTTTCGTCCCAACACCTTTGAAGTAATATTAGCAATTCCCCGCAGGCCTCTTCTGACGACGATCATGCTTTCCAACGTTCTGGGGGCATGTCGTCTATGCCCCCTGCTTTCCCAGCGGCGAGAGCCCGTAGTGTACGTCGAAGCTCTTCCATATCGAATGTCCCCGTGTATATGCCCAGTGTGTCTCCAACGTTCGTTCTTCCACTCGGTAGAAGACCTGCATGTGTAACTTTCCACTGGATCTTTTCGAAGTAGTCCGCCAGTGTATCAGCGCGCTGCGTGCTCTCCACCAGCTGCCCATGTTGGTTGCGAATTTGTATTGGCTTCTTGGGGGGTCCTTTCCTGACTGCCCGTGCAGCTGCCCATTTCCCACCAACAAATTGTGAATCCAACCATTTCCTTTTGTCTCTCCTTAATGATGCCTTGATAAATCTTGTGAGTTTGTGCTCTTCCAACAAATTTCCCTTAGATTGGATAGCATCCCTCTCGGTCAGCAAATCCAGCGTAGCTTGGGAGATCCATGGTCGTCTGGGTTCCCTCCCACGTTCCTTGATTGCTTCTGCAGCATCTACCATTGCGTCGGTGATGTGCTTGGCATGCGAATCTAAAGTATTAAGGGTCGTTGGCACCACCGCTGCCTCAACGAAGCGGCGGCAAAAAGATCCAGCAGCGTTGCCGTCCACCATCAGCGTGCTCAGGCGGTATATGTTTCTGCATTGCTTCGTGCATGTTGTATCGAATTTGATATCCAAAAGTATACGTAGTAGAACATGTCTCGAAGCCAATATGGTTGTCCGATCTGCCCGTATGTTTGTCATTTTCCGAATCGTGCTGTGGTCAGCCAGGCAGTTGTCAATTTGAGCAAAACCTTTTCCAATCGGGCTCGTCCTGTCCACCTCCATCCCATAGTATGCTACAAGGTTTTCCAGAGACTGTTCAAAATATGTGTTGGCGATTGCGGTAGATGTCGCCTGGCAGGTCTCCAACAACAAGTCCCTATTTACGTATGCTCCTTGTCGTGGCCACTTGCTTTGAAGGAAACATTCGCCTATGATATCTTCGTCCCCAGGTTCCCGGTCGTATAACCTCGCATTGAAGTCGCCGCATGCGATAGTGGTGGCGTGCTTGTTGGGCACTGGCCAGGCTTTCGTGAGCTGGTCGAACAACTCGCGCCTCTCTTCGTAATCGTAACCTCAATGAGGCGCGTAAGCCGTAATGATATTGAGTATGCCGCCACGGATCTTGAGCTTCAGGATCGCCAGCCTGTCTGAAAACAATGTGTAGCTGATGATAGACTTGATGGCCCAAGGCGCTATCAAGAATCCCACTCCAGAGTAAAACCGGCCCACTCCATGTGGCTTCGACGTCCTGGATAGAGCAAGCATGTAGTCTGAATCGATGTTTTCAGTATGCGTTGTGCTTTCCGTTTCCTGCAGACATAAAACTGCCATCTTGTTTTTCGCAATCTAATGTTGTAGTTCTGGTAGTTTTGCCATGTCTTTTCCCAAACTGTCCACCTTCCAGGTCCTGGAAGCACGGACGTAGCGTAATTTCCTAGGGATCCTGGCTCCGGGGAGGGGGCGCAGAGTAATTGATTATGGATCTTGCTCCTGGGGGCGCGGACGCAGCGTAATTGACGAGGGGTCGTGGCCCCAGTGGCGCGGACGCAGTGTAATTTACAAGGGATCCTGCCCCTGGGGGCGCGAGCACAGCTTAATTTACAAGAGATCGTGGCCCTCGGAGCGGGAACCCAGTGTAATTCACAAGGGACGGTGGCCCTGGAGTATGAATCCTGCGTAATTTCCAAGGCATCGCTGCCCTGGGAGCGCGAATCCAGTGTAAATTCTAAACGCTTCGCGTATCCCCACCAGCCCGTCCAGAAACGACGCCCAGGCGAGTAGAGGGTCGTCCTGAGGGGCTTTTCGGCGTCTTGGGTGCCTCGGGGGGGCCTCTGTGGGCCGTTCGGGATCCTCTTTGGGGCCTCCTGGGGGCCTCTTGGGGCCTCTTGGGGCCATCTTGGGGCCTCTGGGAGCACCTTGGGTGCCTCTGGGGGGTCTCTTGGGGCCTCTTGGGGGTCTCTTGGGGGCCTCCTGGGGGCCTCTTGGGGGGCCTCTTGGGGCCATCTTGGGGCCATCCTGCGGCCTCTTGGGGCATCCTGGGGGCCTCTTGCGGCCATCGTGGAGGAAATCGATCAAAGAAGAGGGGAGCCTTAATTAGCGTTGCCCCCTCAGAAGGCCAAAATGGGGCCCAAACCATAGTAAAATCAATGATTTTGGCTTCCTCGCCGAGGCCGTTTTGGACGCTCTCACCGCTCCCCGCCCCTCCTGTCCGGGTCAGTGGGGAGGGGGTAGGGGGAGGGGTAAACCCCTCCCCGAAGGGGAAGAGGGACGGGTGGAAGAGGAAACGCTCTGAACCACCGACGCCCAGAGGGCTGGTGGGATTTCCAGGGACCTTGGCCTTGAGAGCGTGACTCCCATGTAACTTACGAGGGATCGCGGCCCTGGGAGCGAGGACGCCACGTAATTTGGGATGGATCGTTGTCTTGGGAGCGCGGACGCAGCGTAGTTTGGTTACGAGCTTTCGCAGCCCAGGGAAAGCGGACGCAGTGCAATTCATGAGAGATGTGGCCATGGGAGCGCGGTCCTTTCGTGATGTCTTCGTTAATGGGTCCGCCGTGCGTTGCCCCTTTCTGATTCCGCGGTGTCTGGGGGTGGAGGGCCAGGGTCAGGCAAGCCGCGTTTGTGGAGAAGAAAGGGCCTTGCCCTGATGAGGCTTCACGAGGACCAAACATTCCCCATGAAGCTCCAAGAAGGACAGGAGGCACGAGAAGGCCCCAGAAGGTCCCAGGAGACCCAGGAGGCTTCAGGAGAGCCCAGGAGCCCCAGGAGGGGCCAGACGGTGCCAGGAGGCCCCAGGAGGCCTCAGGAGGCCGCAGGAAGCCCCGGCAGGCCCCAGAAGGGTCCAGAAAGCATATTCTTGGTCGAAGACATGCATCCCGTGCGTGCCCGCTCGAGGAAAGTGCGCCCAAGGGGATATCCAACATGACGTCGTCGGCTTCTCCGCATGTAAAAAATAAGTGCGCGGAGGGTGTATCCAACATGCGTGAGGCGCCCGACGCGGCCCTGGCGACGCGGACGTAACGTAAGGTACTCATGGTTTTGGACCTGGGAGCGCGGACGCCGTGCAATTGACGGAGGATCGTGGCCCTCGGGCACGTTCCCTGGCACGTCCCCTGGCACGTCCGCTGGCACATTCCGTGGCGCGTCCGCCTGGCGCGTTCCGTGGCGCGTCCCCCTGGCGCGTCCCCCTGGCACATCGCGCGGCGCGTTCCGTGGCGCGACCCCTGACATGTCCACTGGCACGTTCCGTGGCGCGTCCCCTGGCACGTCACTGTGCGGCGCGGCACAGCGCAGAGCAGCACAACACAGCCCTTGACACAGTAGCATCACCATGGACATTTTCAACATTGCCAGTGCCCATCGCCCAATTGAGGTGCTTGGAAACGTTTCCATGCCTCGCAGTTCTAAATCCCTTTTCCGGGTTCGTGGTTCGATCATGTTTGGGCTGGGTGGTGGGCAGATTTGCAGACGGGGGATGGGATATACATTGCCGCGCTCAGTTTCCTGCGTTGCAGCAGCAACGCCGAAGCCATAAAACGTGACGGTTTACAGCCTGGAGGCCTTGCAAGGGGGCGACGGCGGATTCTGTGCGGCCCTCGCCTTTGTGCTGATCTTGGCCTTGGCTTTCGGAGCGGACGCCGTCACCGCTGGCGACGCGGTGCTCGCCCTGGTCATCTTCAGCCTGGCGCAGGTGCCCTTCGGCTATCTCATTGGGAGCCTTTGCTCCACCGCGGCAACCGCGCAGAATTTTGTCCTCGCATTCAACATGGGCGTTTGTTTTGTCTTCGGCACTGCGGGCTTCCTCATGCGCCTAACGAACCTCTGCACCGAGCCCCTTGGCCTGCCCACGCGGCCAGCCGAGTGCGCGGTCAAATTCAGCGACTGGCTCGACCCGATCTTCCGGTTCGTTCCAGGCTACTCCCTTGCAGAGGCCCTCCAGCTGATCGGCTCGGTGAACATGGCGCTGAAGGCCACCCCTCTTAGCGCGAGGAGCGCGGAGTGGTATGTGGAGTGTGAGGACGCGGTGAAGTACCTCGAGCGAGTCCCGTGGGCATGTGTCGATGGTCCACTGGACTACGGCGCAGCTGGCGGCCCTTTGACCCACATGGGAGCAGCCGCGCTTCTTTATCTGAAGGGCTTCGCCCTCTGCCGCCCCCACCCTCGTATTACCTGCGTGACAATGGGTTGTTTGGCTGGCTGGCTGGTTGACAGGCTGGTTTCTCGACTGTTGGGGTGAGCTTTGTAGGTGGACGGCTGGCAAGTTAGTTGCTCGGTTGGCTGACGGGCTGGTTCCCAGACTTGCTGGCTAGTTGGAAGGCTGGCTGTGTGGCTGGCGAGTTCGAAGAGCGGGATCACTGCTTCTTACGAGGGGTCGTGTCTTTGGGAGCGCGGACTTACATGTCTTCATCAATCTGGAGTTCTTGATTGTTAAGTCTGCTCGCATCTCTTCTCCTTCCCCTCCACACCCTCCTCGCCCTCGCCCTCAGCGTCGCATCACCCTCACTCGGTATCTCCGTGAGGATCGCTCTCACTCGCCCTCATCTTCATCATTATCGTTTCCTTGATCCCCTGCATTCGCTTCTATCATCGATGTCTCTTCCCCCTAGTGTCATCACTCACAATCGCTCTCACTCTCAGGGTGGAGTGGACCTCCCGCTCTCGCAGGGAAACGGTTTCTGGTAATACACGAGGTGGAGTGCCCTGTCTTCGAGTTCCCACCTAAGCGTTTGAATCCTAATGGGATCGTGTGTCACTGTAAAATACTTGGTTGGTGTGCACCCATCGCCTTCGCAGGCTCGCGATCCATAGTGGAAGCCCGCGTGGAGTGCCCCTTCCCCAGGTGTGCGCGAGTTTCGGTCGTATGTGGCCTTCAGGGGCGGACTACAAAGATCGCGAATACCATTGAGACCACCACTGGGCGCCGGCGGTAAACCGTCAACCTTGGTTTCCGCCGGGAGACTCGTAGAGCTTCCTAGCTCGACTTAAGTTGAGAAAACCGACAGCACCTACCAACATTCCGACTCATAGTGAATATTTTTTGACCTCTGAATGCGACAGGCGGACGCGTCTGATGTCTGCGAATCGACTCCTGTCATTACCAGCCCTGCAGTCCCCCTACAGCCCGAGTTAAATGCAGAAAACCGACAGCACCTCTCAGGATGACTCGAACAATACAATAGTTTCGCAGACCTAATTCGGGCAGCAGACCGAGTTCCGAGCTCTGGATTCGACAGGCGGACGCGCCTGATGTCTTTAAATCGATTCCTGTGACCACCAGCACTGTAGCCACCCTCAGCGCGAGTTGAGTGAAGAAAACCGAGAGCACTTCTCAAGATGACTCGACCAATACGAATAGTTCAGAGCTCTGGATTCGACAGACAAATGCAACTGATGATTCTGAATCAGTTTCTGTAAATATCAGCTCTGTAGCTGTCCTACAGCTCGAGTTAAGTACAGAAAACCGAGAGTTCCTGTCAAGATGACCGAATAATACGAATAGGTTTGCGGACCTAGCTCGGCTAACAGACCGAGTTCAGACCTCTGGATTCAACAGGCGAACGCGCCTAATCATTCTACATCGATTAGCTGTGCTTATGTCCTAAAGCTCGAGTTATGTTCAGAAAACCGTCAGCGCGTATCAAGATGACTCGAAACGGCCGATCCCGCCACAGTGCCGTTCGATAGTAATATTCACCCGATCGAGCTGAGATCAAGATGGCGAGCGGGAATAAGATCGAATATCACGGGAAAAAATACTAGAGCTCAAACGAATTGTTGAATTTTGAGAACATGATTTTCAACCGACCAAAAGTCACCAAAAGTTCCGTCGAGATTTTTCTTGCCAACTAGCTCTCCAGCGCGTCCGAATTACTCTTAAGCTTCCAGCTGCTAGCTTAGGGAAGCTCTACGAGTCATTCCTCTGAGACGAAGCAGTCGCACAGGTCCCGTTTCCCTTCGGGTTCCCCGGCCCCGTTGGGGACGCTTAAGATCCTCGTGGCTACCGCGGACGCATCGGGCAAGGAGGAGGAGGAGGAGGAGGGGGATGAGCTCGAGAGAAGGAGGAACATGGCTATGCGGAGAGGAGGAGAAGTATCCCACGAGAAGAGTGAGGAATAGCAGGATGAGTATTCGTTTACAACCATTTCCATTTCAGCAGGAAGTGTTTGCTAAGGCTCCGCTCCCTTTTTTATCCTCTTCCTTCTCATATTGTCTATCATGGTTTCTTTTAATTTGTTTTCCTTCTCATCCACCCTCCTGGAGCCTCGTGAAGCCTCTTGGTTGCCTCTGGCTTTCACTGGATCTTCAGGTTTCCACGGCCACGTGCATTCTGAGACCTCAAGAGGGTTCCTGCGCTTTCATAGCGTATCTGTCGTCTCTAATTGTTCGTATCATCTTCCTGGGACCTCCTGGGCCCTCTTTGAGGCTTCCTTCGGACATCCTCAATCCTCTTGCCGCTTCGCAGATTTACCAATCACACTCAGCCTCAAAACGTACTCAGTCTCACTCGTAAGCTCCTTCCTCTTGCTATTTCTCGCCCCTTTTTTCTTCTCTTCTACCCCCCTTGATCCTTCTTCCGTGTCGTCTTCCTCCCGCTCTCGCACTTTTTCGTAATACCTGTCGCCCGTTCATTCCAACATGTTATGATGTGGTCCATCTGTTCGAGTCATTTCGAAGGGGTAGTGGCCTCGGGGGGGCCTTTCGGAGTTTCGAGGATGAGAACAGAGCGGCCCGGGGAAATCGGTTTGGCTTTTGGTTCGTGTCATGCGTGCGGGCGAAGCGCGATGTCCTTGCCTTCCTGGGGGTGGTGTGGGGCGGAGCAACATGTATTCGTGTCCGCCAGCGGTGGTCTGGGTTGTCCCGATGATTGTCCTGATGGTTGTCCCGATGGATGTTCTGATGATTGTCCCAGTGATTGCCCCGTTGGTTGTGCCGACGGGTGTCCCCCTGGTTGTCCTGACGGTTGTCCCGACACATCGGCGGTGGGATCGAGTTGCCTTTAGCCCATCCCGCGACCGTGCCTTCGTTGTAGGTTAGAGGCCCCTTGCATGCCTGTGGGGATCTCATGGGCGGTGTTTCGGAAGCTTCTCGGAGGGGGTTTTGAGGTGCCATTGCGGCCTCCTGGGGTCTGATTTGGGCCTCTTGGGGGCCTCCTGGAGCGTTCTCACTCGGGGACCTCTTGGGTCGTCTTGGGGCCCTCTTGGGCCGTCAGGAGGCCATCTTGGGGGTCTCTTAGACCGTCTTGGGGCCCATTAGGAACCCCACCTATTGCGCCAGGGGTCTGTCCACACAGCGTCCCTCCAGTCATTTCAGCGCATTTCTCACGAGGCTCGTGGCCCCACGCAGCGTCCCCTCGCCCATTCTTTCACCCCCTGGACGGATCGTGCCCCCCAGGGAGCACCACCCAAACGGCCCCAGAGGGTGCGCCCACATAGCGTCCGGCGTCCGCCTTCCCACTCCGGCGCTGTAATCACACGAGTCGTGCCCCCCAGGGATTTCCCCCCAGGGACCCAGTTGTTGTGTCCACGTGCGCCTCCCCATATACTTCGGCACCCCCCTCCCACGGAGCGTGCCCCGTGGGGAGCTCGACCTAAGGCTCACCTCGCTCGGGAGAAGGAGGAGGAGGAAACGGAGGAGGAGGAAGGGGGGAGGATAAAGAGCAGGACGAGGAGGAGGAAAAAGGAGGACTTTTAATATCAAATAGCAGTAATAATTCATTATAATAATAATACATCCTCTGGACGAAAGTTTGTTCCTCCTGGGCCTGGAACGACGGCTTGTCTTGAGCAGGCGTGCATGAAGTAAACGCCGTCGGATCCCGTGAAAGATCCAATTGTGGTTTTGGCGTTTGCTTCGGTGGATCCGAATTCCGTCCGCGCGGATACGATTTCGGATTTGCTGGATCCGTGTTCGTTGTTTGTTGTGAAAACACGGCGGGCACCATTTTGTTACCCCGTTTAACATGTATAGTTTTCAATTGCAACGGGAAGCCGGAAGAAATCTGATCCGCGGACCCCGGAACCCGCCCGTGTCAAGGTTCTACGGGGAAGGGGTATCGGTCATTAACTTCAAACTCATCATCGCCATCTGCACCTCAAGAGGAAATTATGTCGTCCTGCGAAAATTTATCAATAATGAACCGAATACGAATAACAATAAACAGCTTAATACGATTACAAATAATCATAAGAGAAAGTAAATGCTACGACTAGCATGAATAACGTTAATAATAGGAAGAGGCACAATACTACTAATATCAATGATAAGCGTGCGAAACTTAATATTATTAATCACATTCGTAATGTTAATAGTAAAACTGGTCATAACGATGATAATACTATTAATGCTGACAATACTTGTAGTGGCACACACGAGCATATGAACAAAAGAAGGAAGAGGAGAAGGAGGAGAAGGAGGAGGTGGAAATGCAGGAGGTGATCCTCACCTTTGTGCCTCTCCCTATTGCCGCGTCCATCCAAGCGCCCCCCGTGCATTGTCTTGCCTCCCATGACATGCTCTTACGCGGTGTTTGTGGTATACAAAGGAGAAGCTGTTCAACATGCCGTGCGGTCGTTTGCTGATTCCCCGTTATGGAAGACAGACCGACTGTCGC